TTTTGAGAATAGAAAAATAGAAAAATAGAAAAAGCAAATTGGGCCAGCCTTTGCTACGATCTTTGGGCTTCGCCAGGCCCAAACACGGCCCATTTCTGGATATTGAAAATTGCGAATACTCGCGATGGCAAAGCTGGCTCTGTTTTCGCTCCAATTCTGCTCGAATCCCAGATGAAAATCAAGAGATTATTATCCGTTCCCATATTTTCTGTGCTATCTTTGATAGGTTTTGTGTATTACATTACGGTGTTCATTTTCATCGAGGATTGGATTGGTTTGTTTACCTCTCCCGGTTTGATTAGCTCTTTGATTTTCACTTACTTGGCTTCGCTCTGCCTTTTCTCTTTGGCCGTTTGTGTTCTCACCGACGCAGGTCCTGTTCCATCTTCCTATTTGCCTGATGTTGAAGAAAATGCCGGCTCGGATCACGATGCCAAGATTTCCGTAAGTTAGTATGAATTTGATTCGTTTGTTTTCTCTGATTCTATGATGTGAATTCGAGGTTTCTATTTAAACCTCAGCTTTGTGTTTCTTTGTCTATTTATGAACTGATAGAATTTGCTTCTTTGAACGTTTTGGATTGATCAACTCTGTCTAGGGATGTCTTGATAATTACACGCATTGTGGTACGTGGGTTTTGAGCCTTAGTTGATCTCAAATTGGTTTCAAGTGGAGAATAACAAATTTAATGGAATTATGGAGTTCAATTGGATGAATTGATGATCGCTTTGTTCAATTACACGTACTGTGGTACATGGCTATCGAGCCTTAATTTATATTAGTGTAGTTTCAAGTGATGGAACTATGGAGTTCTATTGGATGAATTGATGTCACTTTGTTCAGGAAAGAAGTCTTATCGACTAATGTATTTGTTAATGGATGTTAACAATAAAATGAATAGGGTTTCTTTGTTATTTTCATTCTGTTTTTATTTGAAGGCTACAGATCGGATACTATAGAAGTATATGATTTATTGATATATTCAAAGTGGAACAGGACGACCGCCAAAATCCCAACCAAGTACCCTTGAATTAGAGGGTGAAATTATTCGAAGGTTTCAATGGGGATGAAATGGTGATTGGACAGTAGTTTAATGGAAGAGAAACCACATGGGCTTATCCTATTTTAATTGTGAACTTTTAATCCTACAAATATCAAGTACCCTTGAATACACTAGGACAATGAGGAAATACGTTGCCTTATCTACAAAAGTATATACAGTTTTGAAGCTCGTGCTCGCTCTCTTTTCATTTGGAACCCAGCTTCACCACTCTATCTCACTGTGGCCACCCTGTGGAGAAGATTACTGGACCACTCTCTGTTCACTCTGGTTGCCATCTACGGAGGTCAGGGTGACATATTGTCGATAGACCTTCAATCCAGTCGGATCATAACCCGTACCCATATCCCCCTCTTTCTTCGTATTGAAGGTACTATTCCATTGAGAAAATCTGAACCTAGAATCCGGTGGCACCATTATGATATGGAGCCACAAACAATCTTTCACCGTATTTAGTATTTAACGTGCAACAGGAAAAGTCTTTTTTTGATGAAGCAAATTAGACATCAATTCAATTGTGTACTCTGTATTGTGTTCGAGTCATTGATACAAATTCATGATTTACTGACAGGCTTTACAGACGAGGCATTGTGAAAAGTGTAGCACCTACAAACCTCCAAGGACCCATCATTGTCGAGTCTGCAGAAGGTGTGTTCTGAGGATGGTAGGTTTTGTTGTATCTAAAGCATAACAATTGAACTCTGGCTCTTATTTTCAGACATGGTTAAACTGAATGCCTGTGGTTTATTCCTCCGTTTGACATGGGCTTAAACTGGATGCAGGATCATCATTGTTTGTGGATAAATAACTGCGTTGGTTATTGGAACTACAAGTCCTTTTTCGTCCTTGTCTCGTACGGGACTTTGGCAAGCTTATATTCCACTGTATGCCCTTTTCAGTTTAGTTCATTTCATTTAACAAGAAATCTTATTTTTTTTGCTTATAACTTGAGCTTTGGTTGCTTAGTTCATCATCATGAGATGTGCATTTCAGAAGAACTGGAATTTTGAGGGAATGCTTCCTGTAAATATTTTCTATGTAAGTTGTTTGTTTATGTAACCCACATCTGTTTACGTTAATCTTATTTCGTTGAAATGCCTTTGCTGTAACGACTATCTGGATCTTCCTGAGAGTCAATAACGGGCTATGGTCGAGAGAATTGGTTCAAGTTATGGGCGCTAGTCGAGATATGTGCAAGCTAGCCCTTACACTGGAGGATATAAAGAAATAACGGATAAAAAAACCCATGCTTCAACTAACCTAACTTCAACTTCACCATAAAAGTAGAAAAATTCTGACCGACATAGGTCGATCATTAAAGTATCGTTGCTGGTCAAATTTTATAGAAAAAGAGATTTACTTAACTTTTATGTTTTAGGTTATTTGTGCAGTGATGATGATCTCCTTGAGCTCAACGCTCGGAACTCTTCTGGGCTGGCATATCTACCTCATCGTTCGAAATATGACGACTATAGAGGTATGATATCGATTCCTACAGTTGGATACTTGGACTTATAAGCATGAGTTTCTTCCCCCCTCCGACCATTGAGTTAGAATCGTGTTTCTTCTATCAGTATTACGAAGGAATACGTGCAGCATGGTTGGCTAGAAAATCTGGACAGAGCTATCAGCACCCGTTCGACGTCGGTGCTTATAAAAACATGACCTTGGTTGGTGTCTTCTACTTATCCTTTTTTACTGCATATGTGTCTGTCTGCACACACATGTTCCCGTGTTCAACACGCTGATGTTGGGTATTACAAGTTTTTTCTCTGTCACATCTTTTATAATAGTTATCTCGTCACATCGAATAAAATATAAGACGTCACAAATAAGACTTTGTAATAACCCAAAATTCAAAGTTTTCTTGTCACATCTTGTAAATAATATTGAATCTATGATCTGTTCGTGTGGTAACTCATCTGGGTTCTGAATGAAACAAACCAAGACACAACTCATTTAGGGTGTTGATATTGTTATCAGATCTTAGGTCCAAACATTCTGAAATGGGCATGGCCTACTTCAGCCAGCCATCTAAAAGATGGACTCAGTTTCCCGACTTTGCGCGATAGTTCGTGAACAGGTTCGGCCGAGCCGAGCTGATCCAATCCAATCCGTCTGTTTCAGTGTTGTTCTGAATTTGTTTGGAGAATACTCCAAAGCCAAGCAACACTGCAGTTTCTCTTCACTCATCTGGCTAGAAAGGCATAAAAAGGAAGAAACAAGGTAAACTTTGCATACACTTGCAATTCTGTATTTGAAGAAGAAATTTGATGTAGAGCTCTGTTCTCAAATATACCATTTTCAAGCTTTGTGAGTTTCGAACCGATGTAAATTCGTCGTATTTTTATTTTTTATCGATATTCTTTATTACTCTATTCTCTCAAATAACATTGAACGGGAGGATATTTTAGTCTCTCGTGTTTATATTTATTCTATTTTGGTCTTATTCTTTCAAAACTCCAATTTTTATTCTTAATTTTTGCGGTTCGAATCGTTTTCAAACTTATCTATAATATTTACATATTTATATGATTTTGCTATATTATAATTTATTTGAAACATACCTCTCTAAACATTAAATTCTACTATATTTGTTCCAGTACCATGCAAGGAAACAGTTTACTATCGGGACATGACAACTAAACAAGTAATATCAAAGTTTGTGGTCGAGTTTTAGATGAACTAATATTTGGAGTCGTAAATAAAACAAATAAATTTTAAATAAATTTGGTAAGTTCGAGAGATGAAAAAAGAAAAAAAAATTTAAATTTGGTAAGTTTGAGAGGATGGAAAAAGAAAACAAAAATCAAATGGGAATACAACAATATTCGTATTTTTTTAATAGAAAAAATATATAAATATATAAATAATTGAAAGTAGAAATGGTAGTTTTCTTGTTTGATAATTATTTAATTTTTTAGAATTGAATTTATTTTCTCACCATTTTTATTACACTTTTCATATTAAAATTCTGAGAATTTTTTTTAATAATTATTATTTAATTTAGTTTTTGAAACTCAATTATTTTAAAAATATTTGTAAATTACAAAAAAAAAAAAAAAAAAAAGTAAAAAAGAAAAGGTTATAAACATTATATTCATCATATTTAGTTTGTTTTTAAAAAATCTATTTGATTTTTAGAAATTATGCTTATTTTCTAATTAATTATGAAATGAAATTGAAACATTAAATTAGGATAAACTTATCCAAAAACGAAATAAGTACAAATAATCCCGTCATGAGCTAAATTAAAATGTCTGAAATTATAAAGAATATTCATGAGAAAAACAGAAATAAAGGGGAGTCCACAGAAGGAGAAGAACCACAGATCGACACAGTTCACGATTCTCTCTCCCCAGGTTTGACATCTTTCCCTCTCTCTTTTGCTTTTCACAAAACTTACATTATCAGATTTGATTCTTTCAATGCCGTTTCTTGTCTTGAACTTTCTGTAGGGTTCGTGAATTGTGTGAAATCGAACGTGATTTTGCCTCTGTTTTTTTTTTTTTTTCATTTTTAGTTACGTGAACTTCGGATTGACGTTCGAATTTCAATTCATTTTCTATTTACCATAGCCTTTAAGTATAATTTCAAGTCAGCCAAACAGTGTTCGGATACTTGAGATTTTTCAGACACGTTTAGAATTATAATTTTGAATTGATGTCAATTTGTACCTTCTCGTTTTACAGTCATTTTTAGGCGGATTTCGTGGATTCTACTTGTAAAAATTGATTAAATAATGAATTGATCGACGTTTTTGGCGCCTTAATTCTGATGTTTTCACTGATTATTTATTTGTTTGTTATTTGCGATTCAAGCTACTGGAAAAGGATTGGCATGTGTTTAATTATATCTGAAACTTTGTTTCTCTATCTTTTCTCTCTGCTTTGGATCTGTACTTTGTGGACTACTTGATTGAAGTTGATTAATTCTCATTTGAAGGAACGAATTACGACAAGGAGGAATTTGAATTTTGATAAGAAAATGAAGAACTCTGTGTCGGATCGAAGTTTTTACATCGAAAGTTCTGACGACGAAGATCTAGAAAAGGAACTCGACAATGGCGAAGACGATGGAAACGAATCGGATTCTTCCGGCTTATCGATGAATAATCAGAATCATAAACAATCAAGTTCTTACAATACCACCGCTTGGCCTAAAAGTTACAGGTTCAGTTTCCCTCCGTTTCACCTCTTTCGTTCTTCATTCTGCAGATTTTATCCTTCCATTTCTTCTGTTTCAAATCTCCTTTGCCTAATAGTTAGATTAGAATCATTGGTGATTCACTTGAAAATTGAAATCACGAAACTAAAATTTTCAGCGGGAATTTTGTTTTTCTAGAAAAAAAAAAAAATGATGAAAATGGCGGAAAACTGGTAACGAAGGAAAGTCTGCGCCAAACTTTCTATATTTTTAAAATATTCACTTTCAAATATTTTAATAATCCTTTTAAACTTTTAAAAATATCTTTAAAAAAATATACTCATATTTAATAAATATTCATGAAGTAACCTTAATACTAACATTAAAATCGTCTATGTTCATAAATTATCTCTTATAGCTCTTAAATTATAACAATATTAATAATAAAATCTTTTTGAACCTTTTTTTAGTTATTAATGTTAGCATTAATATATACTAATAATATAAATATTTTTTAATTTTTTGAAAAAGCTTAAACACATTTTTTAATATTTTTAATAAAGTAATTAATAAAACTTTTTAAACTTGACTTATTTTTTAAATAACTTTTAAAATTAAAAATATTATTTAAAAATTTAAAGATATATTATTTTTTAGATAAAATACAGGTGTTTTTTTTAATTAAATTTTAATAATTTATTTATTATTTATTATTAGTATGGGAAATAAAGGAAGTCTTTAAACTTTATTTGGAAATAATCATAATTTTTATTAACAACAAGCTTTTGGTGTTTGTCCTGATTATTCTGGAGAGTTATCCCACTCACGAGTCCACCTAATAAAGTAGGGTTTCTTGGACATTCTAAACGTGGATAATTTGTAGACATAAGTACAATATTTATTATTTATATTTATTTATTCGATTAATTCACAAATTAATCACGAATAATTTTGTTAAAACTCTCTCTAATGTCACTCTTTAAAATCATATTAATTCATAGAAATATTTTTCTAACCATATTTTGAAAAAATAAATTAATTAAAGGATTCAAACTGCCTTTTGATTTTTTTTTTTTTTTTTAAATTGTGTTTATAATAAAAATGGATAGAGTTCAATGAATAGCTTTACAACGAACTCTAAAACTTTTGAGTTGTAGTTTTGGCTGTATTCTAACCCTTTGTTGAACAATCATTCATTTCAACCTTGTTTTTCTTTAATGTTCGTTTGTAGTATGCATATATGGGAAAATTTCAAATATTTACTCTCTGTATATAATTATAAGTAATTATTTGATGTTTGTAAGCCTTATCTTCTTTTCAAAGTACTCTGGCAATTAATTAATTGAAGTACTATTCATGCTACAAACAGTATTTATCTATGAATATTTTCTGAATAATAATTTAAAAATCAAATTATAATGTTGCAGGCAATCTATTGATATGCTCGGAAGTGTCCATTCTCCATCGTTGACTAGATTTGGAAGCTCGTTTCTTTCTTCCTCATTGACAAGGAGATTCACTCCTGAAGCATTCTCTACTTCCATAATAAAACCACTGCTATCCACAGTAGTAGACCAGCCACAAAAGCATGCCCCTCATTCCCATCTCGGCCTTCCTTCCAGGCGCTCTTCCTTATCTATGAGGAGGGATGAGAAAGACAACCCCGCCATCGACTCTCATGGCCTCCCCATTTCTCGCCATAGCTCTTTTGGCCAAGCTGTCGCTAATGGTAACTAAAATTTGATTTAAGATATAAAGTTAGTTGTAGAATATATTTTATATACCTTGTTAATTTTTTTTTCTTCTTATTTTTAAGATTCGGTTAGTAGTATATTGTCTCGGGTTAGTGGGTAGCTTGTGTCCTAATGTTCTTCACTATTTATGATAGTGTTCACTTTGAGCAAAAATTATGAACCCTCGAACAACTTTTCCTTAATTGAGGCTTGACTCCTTTCTCTTGAGCCCTCGAACAAAGTACACATTTTGTTCGACATTTTAGTCACTTTTGACTACACTTTTGAGGTTCACAATTATTTGTTCGACCTTTTGAGGATTCTATTAACATGACTAAATTTAGGCATGACTATTATGAGATGTTAGAAAAAATGGATCTCCACAATGATATAAGTTGTCAGTGAAACATTAATACTTCCAATTCACTTCTGTTTCTCGATCTTCTCATCTTCTCATGTTTGTGTTATTGTGAAAGTGATTGAGGTTGAAATGTAGGCATGAATGCGCTATGTGGGGTGGGATTACTGTCGACTCCATACGCTATGAAGGAAGGAGGATGGTTGGGGATATCCATTTTGTTGATATTCGCTGTGCTTTCTTTCTACACTGGTATCCTCCTGCGTGTTTGTTTGGATAGTAAGCCAGGCATCGAAACTTACCCCGACATTGGCCAAGCTGCTTTTGGTGCCCTTGGTCGTGTACTCATCTCGGTAAAACTCCCTTTCTATTCTATTTAACTTTCTAAGAAATACAACATTGTTTAACCCAAAAGGAAAGAGTTAATAAATAAAAATTAGATTTAAATTTTTTTTTCTTATTTATATTAATATCTTTTTACAAATTGCAATAAATATTATATTTTGAGGTTGCTGATTGTTTAAGATATGGTTTTGGTTGGTTGTGGATGCAGATAGTATTGTACGTGGAATTATACGTAAGTACTCCTTTTAGGTCTTTTAATTTTTAATTTTTTAAAATTTTAAATTATTGTCATACGTCACACACACGACAAGAGCAACTCTCTGGTCCACCAGCGTTCTTAATGACTTGCAACCAATTCATTTAGGTTGATTAGCTAAGCCAACGTTAATTAATATATATATATATATATTTTTAAAAAGAGCTTCTTTGTATTTCTTACCCTTATTTGTCTGTTGGCTTCAATTTAGAAAATGAAATTTTAACACGTAGTATAAATTCGTTCGAAGTTTTGTTTAATATATTTAGAACCATGTAAGTTTGTTTAATATTATAGGTGTGTTATATGGAGAGATGTTTGTTTTATCTACGGACCGCCTCAAATGTGAAGGAAATATCATAAGGAGGGGAAGGAAAACATTCTCCATCTTGCTTATATATTCAACACATTATATATATTAAAAAATGAATAAATTAATTTTAAAATTATAAATGATATATTTTTTTAATTGTTAAAGATTATATTGTAATATTAAACTTCGAATTTTTAGGCATAAAATTGATAGAATATTATATAGGAATATATTGGATTATTAAGATTTTTTTTTATAATTTTTTTAAAAAAATTATATTAAAAAATGAAAACTTTAATATAATTATTTTTTGAAAAGAATAATAAACAAAGAAAAATGAATGATTCCTGTCCCATGGACATACGTGAGAATGCTATCAATATATTATAAATAAACTATATTTGGGTTTGGTTCTTATTATATTACATGAGAAAAGCTAACGCTTACCTTTGGCCTCTCGTTCATTTTCTCCAAGATTTCCCTATATGATAATGCAATATATAATCCTATGTCAATATTATTGTATGGTGGTTGTAAGATACTAATGCAACTATTTTCATTTTCGTAATGATTTGAAACAACAAATTAGGCTTATTGTTGACGAAGTGACCTAACTAGATATGCTTGTCTTGCAGGCTTCTTGTATTGAGTATGTAATTCTGGAGAGCGACAATCTGTCTACTTTGTTTCCCAGTGTACACATTACTTTTGGCGGATTCGAGTTAAATGCGCATCTTTTATTCGCTATAGCGACTGCCCTTGCTGTTCTTCCCACCGTTTGGCTTCGAGATCTCAGTATTTTAAGTTATATCTCTGGTAAGCACAATGGTATGATATTATCCACTTTGAGCATAATCTCTCATGACTTTTCTTTGAACTTTTCCAAAAGACCCCGTACCAATAAAGATGTATTACTTACCTATAATATAAATTCATGATCATTTCCTAGACGGTGGATTCATCCATTGTGATTTTTACTATAAAATGCCCCTATTTTGCAGCTGGTGGAGTTATTGCATCAATCGTGGTGGTTGTATGCTTGTTTTGGGTTGGGGTGGTAGATAACGTCGGCTTCCATGGCACGGTGACTCCTCTGAACCTCTCAACTCTCCCTGTTGCTCTGGGTCTTTACGGTTTCTGCTACTCAGGACATGCTGTATTTCCCAACATCTATAGTTCAATGGGTAAACAAAGCCAATTCCCTGCAGTTCTTTTCACATGGTAAGTTTATATCTCCATCCATTTTCACAAACAATTAGCCATCATTCTTAAGGACTTCCGAAGTATTAATCGTTTAAGCCTTATTATGGCGCTGGAGAAACTCCATGTGTCTACACGTCTTCATTAATCTGTGTTGAGGATTGTTGGGAGTGGAAGATCATGAGTTTATGACTGAGGAATACTATTTCAATTGGTATGAGGTCTTTGAAGAAGCAGAAAAATCATGAGAGCCGATGCTCAAAGTAGACAATATCATATTATTGTGGAGATCTGTGATTCCTAACATGGTATCAGAGTTATACTCTTAACTTAGTCATGTCAATAGAATCCTAAGTGTCGAACAAAAAAGTTGTGAGCTTCGAAAGTGTAGTCAAAAGTGACTCAAGGTCTTAGGAGAGGCTCTATGGTGTACGGAATACTTCTCCATTAAGGAGAAGGGCTCCATAGATCTTAAGAGAGGCTATATGGTGTACGGAATACATCTACATTAGTACGAGGCCTCTATTTGTCCCCCTTTTGAATGGAGGGTTGATAGAACCCGCCAACCATAAAGAAAAACAATCATCCATGTTAACAATAACACCATTTACTTTCTTTATGAATGCAGTTTTGGCATTTGTACTTTGATGTATGCTTGTGTTGCTATTATGGGATACTTAATGTTTGGAGAATCAACATTATCCCAATACACACTAAACCTGCCCGGGGATTTGGCTGCCTCAAAGATTGCTGTCTGGACTACGGTACGCTGGTAAATTTCTACTGTCACTACTCTGTTCAAACCAATTTCTCACGTTTCTTATTTGTTCTTTGGCAGGTAATAAACCCATTTACCAAATATCCTTGAGTCTGATATATACTTGTTACTCACTGTACTTGAATTTTCGTTTGTCCTGTTTTTGCTTCACCCTAAGTTCTGCAACCATATTTGAACCAGAAGTTTAATATTTCTCCTTAATTAGTCCCACGTATGCATTAACAATATCTCCAGTAGCAATGAGTCTGGAAGAGTTCATACCACCAAACCATCCCAACTCTCATATTTATTCCATCCTTATTAGAACAGCTCTTGTAATATCTACCTTACTGGTCGGCCTGTCTATCCCCTTTTTTGGTATGTACATTTCTTGTTCCATGCCAATTTCTGATGAAGAAAATGCCCTTTTGGCCTTGGAGACATGATTAAAAGTTTTTGCATGCAGGTCTTGTGATGTCTTTGATTGGGTCACTGCTGACCATGCTAGTGGTAAGTTTGCTAATCTTTGAGAATGGTTGGGAGGTTGTCCTACATTGCCTAATTTAGGGAATAATCACGGATTTATAAGTAAGGAATACATCTCCATTGGTATGAGGTCTTTTGGGGAAGTCTAAAGCAATGCTCAAAGTGGACTATATCATACCATTGTGGAGAGTCGTTATTCCTAACAAAGCCTTGCTGGAACTAACTCGTCAAATTTGTATTGCAGACTTTGATATTCCCTTGTGCCTGTTACCTCAGAATTTTGAAGGAGAAAGTACCATTTCTGCAGGTAAAAACGTCCTCTTCATTGTGTTTTCTTTTATTTGCATACTAGAACTTGCGTACTTAGAAGACTCTCCCTTTTGTTTTTCTCGTTGTTTTACAGAGAGCACTTTGTTTCATAGTTATAGCAATAGGAGTTGTTGCATCAGCATTTGGATCATATTCATCTCTAAGGAAAATCATTGAGAAATTGAATGGCTGAAGTTTTGGCCTTCCCAACCTCCATGACTCGGTGGTTGAGCAGCATAGATTCTGATAGGTTTTGTGTAACGTTTATGTTGTGCATTAAATTATAGGGGAACTCTAGATTTCTCGTTTCCCTATGAACATAGATGAGCTTGTTCATCTATGCCTGTTTTCCCTCTTGCTTGTTAATGTCTTTGTCTCTTGAAGTTAGACATCAATCAGATTCATTTTGTTATGGTAATGAGATTTTACAAAGCTTTCCAACCTGTTTGAAGGGACTTATAAGTCGTTCTGAATGGAACTTTTCGAACCTTTAATATCACTTAAGATGTTTGAGTACATTTTCCTCGATTGTGAAGGTTAACTTACATAAGCTTTTAAAGTGTTGTCATTAGATTAATGTAACGGTCCAAGTTCACCGCTAACCGATATTGTTCTCTTTGGACTTATTCGCCACCACTAGCAAATATTGTCCTCTTTGAGCTTTCTCTCAAGGTTTTTAAAATGTGTATATTAGAGAGAGGTTTCGTTCTCCTCTACAACTGAAGTGGGATCTTACAATCCACCTCCTTGGGGCCGGTTCTCCTCCCCAACTGAGAGGTTTCCACACCCTTATAAAGAATGTTTCGTTCTCCTCCCCAACTGACGTGGGATCTCACAATCCACCCCTTTTGGGGTCTAGCGGTCTTCGTTGACACTCGTTCCCTTCTCCAATTGATGTAGGACCCCCCAATCCACCCTCTTCGGGCCCATCGTCCTTGTTGGCACACCACCTCGTGTCCGCCCCCCTATGGAGCTCGGCCTTCTCGCTAGCACATCGCCTAGTGTCTAGTTCTGATACTATTTGTAACGACTCAAGCCCACTGCTAGCAGATATTGTTCTCTTTGAGCTTTCCCTTTCGGGTTTCTCCTCAAAGTTTCTAAAACGCATATGCTAGGGAGATGTTTCCACACCCTTATAAAGAATGTTTTGTTCTCCTCCCCAACCGACGTAGGATCTCATAATTAAGGTTCTAAGAACTCGTTTTTGGCATTACAAAGATGACAGGAGAAGAAGAAAATGAAAAGGTATTTCAACTCCTCTCCTCTTCTTTCCTATTGATGAACAACCACCTGTTAGTGCTAATTCCATCCATATTAAAACTAAATGAAAATAATTCAGGTTTCCAGTATATATATAACTTACACACTCGCTCAGTTTTGGACACTGAAAAGAGTAAATTTCTGCACAAACAAAACTACTGTAGTTGATCCAGTATCATTCCTCTCAACCTTGTTCAACAAGTTCTCACAACTTTGGGTCTCCAAGCTAGGCCAATCAAACAACCATTCTCTCCAATAAATGAATTCATAATCCGTTTTCTCAAAGGTTCACTTTTTGATCCTTCAGAATCATTGTTAGAACTCAAGCTCTTTACTGGAAGCAGAGGGCTCTCAGGATAGTCCCCTTCCACAATCCGAGTTACCATCTCCAAGACCTCGCTCATTTTCGGGCGTACCGCAGCCTTTCGAACCAAACAACGGTTCGCTACAGCTGCTAGTTTATGAGCAGCTTTAAGAGAATACTTGCCTTCAAGTCTAGGGTCCATTATCAGCTCAAACTTCTTTATGTCAGATAGGTGTGGTCTGACCCATTCCAAGAGCTTTTGCTCGCCTTTAGGGCGGTTTCGATCTAGGGGACGCCTACCAGTAATCAGTTCATAAAGGAAAACTCCGTAGCTCCATACATCGATTTTCGCTGTGAGTCGTCCTGTTTGAAGGTATTCAGGAGCTGCATATCCTATTGTTCCTACAATCTACACATGGATTTGTTTATTACTGATTTGAAATATATAGAAAAACAAATGTGCAGTCATTTTGGCTTTCCTAAAACTGGTTAGATTTTAGATAAGTTGCATACGAACCGCTGTAGAGACATGACTCAGTCCATCAGAAGGCCCCAGCCTGGCCAATCCAAAATCAGACAACTTAGCGTTCCAGTGGTCATCCAAAAGTATGTTGGAAGCCTTGAAATCCCTAAATATTATCTGCTTAAAGATTTATAGCAATTAGGCTACCATATATGTAAAGAAGAATAGACCATGCAGCTAGTTCACTCGTTTTGCTGAAGAAAATTATCATTGTAACTGCCCAAACCCACCGCTAGTAGATATTGTCATTTTTGGGTTTTCCCATCTGGGTTTCCCTTTAAGATTTTAAACGTGTCTGCTAAGGAGAGGTTTCCACACACTTATAAAGAATGCTTCGTTCTCCTCTCCAACTGTGATATGGGATCTCACAATTCACTCTCTTTGGGGGTCAGCGTCCTCACTGGCACACCACCCGGTGTCTGGCTCTGATGCCATTTGTAACAGTCAAAGGTCACCGCTAGCAAATATTGTCCTCTTTGGGCTTTCCCTTCTGGGTTTTCCTTCAAGGTTTTAAAACGCGTCTACTAAGGAGAGTTTTCCACACCCTTATAAGGAAAGCTTCGTTCCCTTCTCCAACTGACGTGGGATCTCACAATCCACCTCCCTTTGGGGACCTACGTCCTCGCTGGCACACTGCCCGGTGTCTAACTCTAATACCATTTGTAACAACCCAAGGTCACTACAAGTAGATATTGTCTTTTTTGGGCTTTCCCGTCTGGGTTTCCCCTCAAGGTTTTAAAACGCGTCTGCTAGGGAGAGGTTTCCACACCCTTATAAGGAATGCTTCGTTCCCCTCTCTAACCAACGTGGGATCTCACGATAAGATTCTTGTAAAATTATATGGTACCTGGAAATCCATTCCTTCATGCAGATACGCCAAGCCACGAGCAGCATCCTGAGCTATTTTCATTCTTATTGCCCATGGAAGAGAACCATTAAACCTGCTTGATAAGTGATCTTGCACGCTCCTGTTAGGCATATATTCGTATACGAGTAGTCGCTGGATCCCTCGTTCATCATCCTCGGCACAGTAGCCTAGTAATTTGACGAGATTTGGATGTTCGACAACGCCCAAAAAGTTCACTTCTGTCACCCATTCCTTGTGACCCTAGTGGATAGGATAGAAACTGAAATCAGAAATGCAATACTAATAAGAAAGTTCATGTCCAAACTAGCTCATCGTTAACTTTTTGGCTTTTGGAGGGGCGATTAATTTAGCCTACAAAAGCATTCTCAACACTTTAGATAGTTGATATTTTACACCACCAGCCAAACAAAAACTGTGAAATTATAAGTCCATGCAATGCAACCTTGTAGGGGACATCCCTCTTGTAACTATACTCTGTTTTGTTATTCAATCCACTTCTAGGAAGAGCTTTTTGTTCCTTTTTATACAAATGTCTAAAAGTAAGGCTAAATGTAAATGCATTTAACCAAAGTTCGCTACAATAGTGGGAATAATTGGATATGCATGTAATAGCCCAAGCCCACCGCTAGTAGATATTGTCCGTTTTGGCCCGTTAAGTATCGCCATCAGCCTCACGGTTTAAAAATGCGTCTGCTAGGGAGAAGTTTTTACACCCTTATAAAGAATTCTTTGTTCCCTTTCCAACCGATGTGGGATCTCACAATCCACCCCCCTTCGGGGCTCTTAAAGAAAATGCAAGAAGTTCTATGTTTAGAAATGTGAGATCCCACATCCCACATCGATTGGAGAGGAGAATGAATGCTAGTGAGGATGCTGGACCCCGAATGGGAGTGGATTGTGAGATGCCACATTGGTTGGAAAGGGGAACAAAGCATTCTTTATAAGAGTGTGGAAACCTCTCCCTAGCATACGCATTATAAAACCGTGAGACTAACAATGATACGTAACGGGCCAAAACGGACAATATATGCTAGTAGTGGACTTGGGCCGTTACAAGAAAGAATTCTCAAATTCTTTAATATTAGATGGAGATGGAATAATATTCCCCCAGCTTTGTGCAATCTTTCCAGTCATCTCTTTTGGCTTTCACAAAAACATCTTAATAAAAATGCACATATGGAACATTCTCAGCTAACCCAACATGATGCAAATAAGTACATATCTAAGTAAGAACTTGGGGAAGGTGGGAGATTAGAGTAAGAGAACTTGCCTGCAATCCTCTTCTACTTAATTGCTTAACAGCAATGTCTATTCTTTTACGTGGATCATCTGAGTTATGGATAGCGCCTCGATATACACTACCGAATCCTCCTTCTCCGATCATGAGCGAGCGGCTGAAATTCTTCGTGGCTGCTTTCAAATCTGAGAATGTGAACTCCCTAAGATTACTATGTCTTTGAGACAAAGCTGCAAATGATATAGCAGAGGATGCTGCACTAAATTCTGAGACATTCTGAGAATTTACGTCCGAGTCAAACATCTTAAGATCTTGATTCATCGACGTCGAATTCGAGTTACACGAGAGAATCGAATTCGATTTCCTAGATTTCCTTAGCTCAACAATGTTTCTCTTGTTGTTGAATACATGAAAACACTTCATAGTCCCTTCCAAAAGCTGATTCCCTCACTGCACAAAGACAAAACCACACAATGTTGATACTCAAACTCCAGCTGATCAAGTATATTTTGGCTAATACAAGACCCACCTATCGGGCCGGGACTAAAGTCGACCTTAGTGATCCAACGGATAAAGGTTACTCTAGGGATAACAGGCTGATATTCCCCAAAAACTTCGGCACTTCCTTGGTCCTGGTTCAAGAGGAAAAACCAAATAAACTTGAAGAGCCTTAGCTATTGAAGAAACCCAGAAAGTGCCTCTCTTAACAGTTGCCACCAATCACAAATCCATCCAAAAAGGATTGATCAAGGGGAATTCAAAAAAACCCAGATTCAAAATAACCCATATCAAGGAGGATCAGAATTTGAACCCAAAATCCAAGAAACTCAACCAATTTTCTATGAAAAAGTTAAGAACATCAAGAAATCTGCATAGCTTTTCACAGAAAACAAGGAAGATCAGGGAGGAGAAAGAGAAATTCACCTCTCATATATGTCCAAACTTGAGCCAAAACTTGAAAAATGAGGAGCTTAAAGAACAAGACAGGATAGCATAGAAGGACAAGGGCAGGCCCCCATGATCTAGGGGAAGTCAATACAAGGCAGCTAGAATTCAGGTGACCAACCAAAAAACCCATTTCAAAGAAGCCCCCAAAGGATTAAAATATGGATAGAAAATCGAAGGGATTGAAACAGTAAACGCCCAGCTACAAAGATTATTAAAAACAAGAACAAATTGACAAGCGAATGGCGGTTTTGGGTGTGAAAAGGGATTGATTTCAACTTCTTTTTCCCCTCTTAGGGATACGTGAGGGATCCTACGAAGAAAAGGTCTACGAAAGGGAATAATGGATATCGCCACATGGAATGAGAATGAATCCATAGGGCCCCATGTTTATTAAATATTTTATATAAATTAAATTAAATTATTAAATTATTACGTATCTGTTCCTGTCTTAGAAGCAGATATCCTTGTAGCTTTCAAATTAAAAACAAAACAAAACAAAACAAAACAAAAAACACAATAATCTTAGTATGACTTTTTCCTTTGGAAATTTTTTAATTTGTATTAATTTCTACTCTAAATATTTTACTTTAGACTTACATCAAATCAATGTTGCAATTTTTACTTTTATTTAATTTTTGCTAATTTTTTATTCATATCGTGTAGATGAGAAAACTCATTTTATTTGCACAAATACGAGCTTAGTTTAGTCCATGTACTCTGTATGGGAAGAAACTCATCCCATTTTCATCATTATGAACTTGGGTAAAGATTAAAATAGTTATTACCCATTTCTCATTTTTTGCTAATTTTTTATTCATATCGTGTAGATGAGAAAACTCATTTTATTTGCACAAATACGAGCTTAGTTTAGTCCATGTACTCTGTATGGGAAGAAACTCATCCCATTTTCATCATTATGAACTTGGGTAAAGATTAAAATAGTTATTACCCATTTCTCATTTTTTTTAATCATTCAATCTCTACTGGATATTGACCCAATTGAAATCAGGAAGCTCATGCCATGGAAGAAGACAACTTGAACCAAGTCCGTCAAATTGGTGTCTAAAATTCCACCAAATGTCAAGTTGCCCAAGGAGGTATGGTTTACCACAAAACTATCAGCAGCCTCCCTTCGTGACCCCACGTTGCCCACCTTCTTTGCCACTGTCTTTCCTTTCTCTTTCTCTCTCCAGCCCACCAAATTTCCTCCTTTGACCTTCGACGGCTATGAAAATTTTGATCTTTCAGCTTTTCAAACTTCAATCTATAAAACCCATCTCTCCTTCTTCCTTAGATCTTTACTTTTGTGTTCTATTTCAAATTTTTTTTGGTGGGTATCTTCATATACCTTCTAATTTGGGCATTTACTCGAAGCTTAAAGCTATGAACTTAAAAAATCCCATGTTTTCTTCCATTTTCTTGGTTCTTGTTCTTGTGGGATTGAGCTGGGAACAGTTTGTTCATAGCCAGAATGTGGATGGTAATCAGTTTGCCAGCCCTGCAGCTATCCCATTTATGTTGTCAATGGCCAACGCCCAGCTCTCCAATTTGAGCTCAATCATCAACTCGGAACTCAGTAGCCGCTTCCATTTCTGCTCCAGAGACACGTGAGTTTTTTCCCCCAGCACTTTCAATTCTGCGCTCTGTTTGGTTATTGAGAACTTGAGAGAAATGGAATCGAAGAGAAATCCTAGTTTAAACTTTACCCTTTTTCTGGATTACAGATTTTAACTTCCCATTATGAAATATTTGCGGAGTTAATAAGCTTGACTTCAATAAGTTTAGGGAAATTGTTAGTCTTTGATCGAAAATATTTGTCGGTAATTGCTTCGAGAAAGTTCAAGAAGATTTGCGACAACTAAAAAGAGAATTGAAAAGCATACGTGCTTAAGGTTTCTCTATCTAAAAGTTGTTCTTCAGTTATTTGTTTCGACATATTTCGATCGTGGGCCATTTCCAACAATCTTGAGCTAGGAGCTTTTCTTTTTTTGTATCAGGCAAGCTGATTGGAACAAAGCGTTTAATTTTTCATCTAATCTGAGGTTCTTGTCTTCTTGTCTACAGAAGACCAATGGTATGAGTAATCCGTAAGTGGAAAGAAGAGTTCTTCCATTTCTGTCATGATTAGGTTCAATCACATGGTGTTGAATTATATATTGTGTTGGTTTTTGAACAGGTGATTTCAGCAAGCGCCTGTGTACAGCAGCAGAAATCAATTTTTACTTTGACAGTATGATCCTTCAAGATCCTGGAAGTGGTTCCTTCTTGAAACTTAACAAGAATTGTAATTTGACTTCATGGAGTCCTGGTTGTGAGCCAGGATGGGCATGTAGTGTTGGTCCTGATCAGAGCGTTGACCTTAGTAATCCTCAGCTATTCCCTTCAAGAATGCATGATTGTCGAGCTTGTTGTGAGGGTTTCTTCTGTCCTCAGGGTCTTACATGCATGATACGTAAGTGTTTAGATCTATAAGGGCTTGCTCTTCACCATTGGCGGTAGATTCTATGTATTGTTGTGGAATCATTGTAACGTTTTTAATGGTGTTTTGTCGAATGTCTTTCTTTTTTGAATTACTTATTGGGAGATCCTTCATCGGTTGGAGAGGGAATGAAGCATTGCTTATAAAGGTGTGGAAACCTCTCCCTCGTAGACGCGTTTTAAAAACCTTGAGAAGCCCGAAAAGGAAGGTCCAGAGAAACAATATCTGCTAGCGGTGGCTTGGGCTGTTACAAATGGTATCAGAGCTAGACATTGGGCGGTGTGCCAACGAGAACGTTGGACCCCCAAGGGGGGTGGGTTGTGAGATCCTACGTCGGTTAGAGAGGGGAATGAAACATTCTTTATAAGGATGTGGAAACCTCTCCCTAGTAGACGCGTTTTAAAAACCTTGAGAGGAAGCCCGAAAGGGAAAACCCAAGGAGGACAATATCTAACGGTAGGCTTGGGCTGTTACAAATGGTATCAGAGTCAGACATCGGGCGGTGTGCTAGCGAGGACGTTAGGCCCTCAAGGGAGGTAGATTGTGAGATCCCACGTCGGTTGGAGAGGGGAACGAAGCATTCCTTATAAGGATGTGGAAACCTCTCCCTAGCAGACGCGTTTTAAAAAACCTTGAGGGGAAGCCAAAAAGGAAAAGCCCAAAGAGGACAATATTTGCTAGCGGTGGGCTTAGACGGTTACAATACCCATATAAGTGGCTGATCTTCTATTTCTCTTATTGGTTATGTATATCTCAGGTATCTAACACTAATAAACCTATAAATCACACAGAAAAACACACAAATAAGAGACTAGAGATAAACAAAAGCTTTCTCGCATGTGTTACTTTCTCTTATTACCCATCCTTGCATTTGTTTGCTATTGGAGGTCTCACAGTATAATACTCTTACTGTATCTGACAGCATGCCCTTTAGGATCATATTGTCCCAACGCCAAGTTGAATAGAACAACAGGAGTATGTGAGCCGTAAGTACAAACCATAACTCTGAATGTCAGTATTCATGGTCTTCAGCACACAATGAAGTTATTCTTGTTCTTGCAGATATCTTTACCAGCTACCGCCCGGGCGGCCCAACCATACTTGTGGAGGAGCAAATATTTGGGCAGATGTTGGTCGTAGTAAAGAGATGTTCTGTCCAGATGGTTCATTTTGTCCCTCTAGCACCGAACAAATTCCTTGTGAGAGTGGGTATTGACTTGAATCCTACCACTATTTTGTTGTCAACCAATGTTTGCTGGCTCAAACACCAGCTTTCTAATCATATCTATCTGTTTTGTTGCCATTGCAGACATTACTGCAGAATGGGTTCAACTTCTCAGAATAGTAAGTGCTATACATGTAGGAATATAGATGAGATGCTTCTTTTGAACTGTTCCTTTGCCATTTTCCCTTAGCTGTGTACTCTTTAGGGACAATGAATATCAAATATCTGGTTACGTTAAGATTGCTAGCATCAAGCATTTGACCCTTTTCCAAATATCTTGCAGGATGCTTCAAGCTTACTTCATGTGATGGAAGCGCCACAAATCAGGATATTCATGCTTATGGAGTAATGCTTTTAGTAAGTCATCCATCACATGAAAATCGGAGTCTTCGAGTCGTAATTCAAATGTGGTGATATATTTTCGTTGTACCGTTCTTTTCAATTTTCAAGTGTTCTTTCTTGCCTTTCCATTCACAATTTTGTGAATAGAGGAGTTCTATGAGATCCCACATTGGTTGGAGAGGAGAACGAAATATCCTTTATAAGCCTGTGGAAACTTTTCCCTAACATACGCATTTTAAAGCCTTGAGGGACTTCCCCAAAAGGGAAAGCTCAAAGAGGACAATATCTACTAGCGGTGAGCTTGGGCTGTTACAGTTGGTATTAGAGTCAGACACCGGGCAATGTGCCATCGAGTAGGCTGTTTCCCAAAGGGGGGTAGACACGTGGCGGTGTGCCAATAAGGACGTTGAGCCCTGAAGGGGGTGGATTTGGTAGGGGTCCCACATCGATTGGAGAAAGGAACGAGTGCCAGCAAGGACATTGAGCTCTGAAGGGGGTTAGATTGTGAGATCCCACATCAGTTGGGGAGGTGAACGAAACACCCTTTATTAGGGTGTGGAAACCATTCCCTAATAGACGCGTTTTAAACTCTTGAGAGGAAGCCCAAAAGAGAAAGCCCAAATAGGACAATATCTCCTAGCGGTGGGCTTGAACTATTACAAGTTTTGTATCTGCTCTCATAAGAATAAGGTGGTAACAAGAAGGATTAAGAGTTAACACTTTTATTTGCTTATGCAGGTGGCTTTAAGCACTGTTCTACTCATAATTTACAATTTCTTCGACCAAATTCTTGCTGCTAGAGAAAGAAGACTGGCTAAATCAAGGGAAGCAGCAGCCAAAAGTGCAAAGGCAACAGCAAAAGCACAACAAAGGTGGAAAGCTGCAAAAGATGCAGCTAAAAAGCATGCAACTGGGTTGCAAGTTCAACTATCACGAAAGTTTTCGCGTGTGAAAAACTCGAATACAGAAAAACATGAGATTTTGAATCTGTCCGAACCCGAAACGGATGATGACTTACCATATTCACATTCACATATCCCGACCACATCGTCGACTTCATCAGTGCACATAGAAGAAAGAAACAATAACCAAACTGATCTCATGGGGATCATACACGAAATCGAAAAGGACCCTGATGGTCATGAAGGTTTTCATTTTGAATCTGGTGAAGGTTTTGAAAAACATATGCCAAAGGGAAAGCATTCAAGTACTCATAGCCAGATGTTTAGGTATGCTTATGTCCAACTT